ACGTTTACATGGTTAAAAAAAAGTTTACATACAAAGTTCCCAAGTCCATTTCATTTGCTGCTCAGTCATAGCTTCTTACTGAGTTACTCTACCAACAATTATATTTCATTCATCCGGTATTGTTATAGAGCATAAATCAGGATTCACAAATGATCAGTTCATTCATACCCCTTGGGAGGGAGGGATTACATGTAAATAATCCTGTTAATGGTAAGCATTGCCTCTAAGCATTTCACACTGCAATAATTTGGTAAACTGAATTTGAGTAATTAAGAAATGAAATGAAACTAATAAAATGCTTATTTTAATATTTCTTTATCATTATTATTTGTTTGGGAATTAGTGAAAATTAAAAAGTCATCTTGCTTTGTGCAGAAATACATTGCGGCACACTACACTAAATTATCTGACAGTGTCTTGCTATTGTGGTTCACTCAGAATTTTTTCCTTAAAATATTGCAACAGTCAATTTGGTGTGTGCTTGCTCTGGGTTATTAACTCTGTCAACTGTGAAGGCCACTTGCTTGGTTGGCCTCAGTGAAAAGTTGCGTTTATAGTGTATTTGCATAGTGATTGGCAACAAATCAAAACCATACCAACTTATTTATCAAAACATTTATATTTCACTATCTGGTCAAATCCTGCAAGCTGGCTTATAACGTAGAATTTAAAAGCTATGAATTTAAAATATGTTAACAATAATTTTTGCCCAAGGAAAAAGGTAGAGAGAAAATGTATAGGATCCGTAAATACATTCAGAGTAAAAGATTGCTTTAAAAGCTATGTTTTATATCAGCTTTCCCAACCTAGTGTCTTCCAGACAAGATGGACTACAACTTCCATAATTCCCAGCTAACATGGTCAATGGCTGGCTAGAGATTAAGGGAGTCATAGTTCCATGCATCTGCAGGAAATGAAGTTGGGAAGGTAACTTTTGATACTCAACAAATGGTACCCAAATAGGCCTCCCTGGGAAGTGTGTTCCACTATGTAGGCCAGTGTATATAACCCTCAAATGTGTTGGACTGTAGGCAAATTCCAACAGGAACAAATTCCTCTGCTGATTTTTAACGCCTTGTCAATTCCATCAGCAAGTGGCACCCACCACTTAAGGAATAAAGATTTAACACTTCTGGGCCAACCAGAAACAAGCACCAATGCCCATTTCTGGAATGGGGTAGGTCAGTGACGCACGCAAGACTGAGTGCCACTGACCTGTTCCAATTGGAAAAATGAGTGTTTCTGCTCACTGCAGGGCTTCCTCTGGGACACACTACACGTAAATCTCTGTGACACAATCAGAGTATGGAATCAGTGGGACTCCCACTTGCACAACAGAAGCAGCAGGAATCAAAAAAATCAACATAGGACAGAAGTACATCACTGGATTCTGCCCTGCAACTCCAATCATCATAGGAAACCTATTTATGTTGTGACTTGTAGTCAACACATATAGAGACATCAGGTAGTCCAGTACATATATGGGAACTAGGTTGAAGACTTTTCTAGCATAAAGACTGTATCTTCCATCTCCACCTGTGTTTCATTTCTCAGGGGAAAGGATAGGTCATCTATGGTTTCTTAAACTGAGTGACTGAGTGGACTCATATGGAAGGAGGCAGTCAGTAAAATGTCCTGGACTCCAATTGTTCAATGTGTCTGACCCTGCACTTAAATGCAACCCTTTAAACTGAGCCTGGAAACAAACTGATAACCAGAACAATTGAAGCAATTGTGAGCTGAAGCGATTAAAGTGCCTCTTGCCACACACAATAGCCTGGTGGTATTTCTGGACCAGCTGAAACTTCCCAGCTCTTTTCAAAGGTAGCCCCACATAGAACACATTGCAATAATCAAAAATGGAAGTCAAAGGGACATAAATGTCCATGATCAGGTTAGACTTTTTGTCTCATCTGGATTAACTTTCATTATTTTGCCTACATCCAGTCATAAACATGCTAATTACATTTCAGCCCAAATCTCCTGACAATCTGACCTATCCATTTGATGTAGATTGTTAAAAAGCATGAGAGATAAAATGGAACCCTCTAACACCCAAAAGGTCAAATATGGTGGAACATTCCCCCTCCTCCGCCTCCTCACCATCTTCTGGAATCACCCAGCCCTGAGTGGTAATCCCAAAGCAAACCATAGATAACAGTATTGGAAGCTTCTATGAGATCCAGAGGAATTAACAGGTCTTACCCCTCCATCCATGAAGGTTTTAGTCACAAATTCATATCCTGTTAGGATATCTGTGGTGTACAAAACTTTTCCATTTCCTTTGTTCACTGCATACAACCAGGATAGCTGGCAGCAAAGGGGTCCTGCTATGAACACATGATCTATGTGGAGAAATGACATAGTGATTAATCCTGCCCTTCTCATGATACCAGTATTTCAGGTCAGTCAATGAAATTAATTGCCACTAGATTCAGGATTGATGAGTAGTACACACAGTGGCCTGTAGCAGTAGTGCACTTAATTAAATTTACATTCT